CTTAAAGAAAATCATTAATTTTTAATAATACATTGGGGGGGGGGGTTATATGCCTTCTCATTTTCAAACATATGAGGTTCATATTTTCACACTTCTCTCTGCAGCCATGAGGGCTGGAAACTTTTCTTTTTTTTTTTTAAATTAAAGCTGAGAAATTTATATAATCTCATGACTCTAAGAGCTGCAGTTTAGGAAAAATTCAGGATACATTTGTGAGAGTTGGCAACACTGCTTTATGCATAAAATTAAACACGGGCAGAAGTATTTGCAGGATCCTGGCCTAACCGATTATACAGGAGAAAAAAATGAAACCAACTATTCACAGAGTGCTATCAAACAGTGCGGGAAATGAAAAAGATTTTTGCTTGTGACTTCTTTCAGTGATAGTTATTTAGGAGTTACTTGTCACAACAATAGCTACAGAAAACAAGAGACCACAATGTGATTTTTTTAATTTGGCATGCCCCGTTAATATCAGTGACTTATTATTATACATTGAGTACAGTGGAGACTACGCTCATCAATCTCCCACCTGAAATACCCTTAAGGAGGCGTATTTAATCCAAGTGTTATAAAAAGGTAGGAGGGAGTATTACTGGAGGGAGATTCTAAAGGAAAATGATTGCAACTGCACACCAGGAGCTTGATTTTCAGAAATGCTGAGCACCTGCAACTCTCACTGCAGGCAACTGGGGGTTAGGAATTGGGCCTGCTATGTCTTCAACAGCCACCAATCCTGGGGGGAAAGAAAATTAGGAAAAACTATTGAAAAGCCCCTGGGGCTCCGGATGAATATACAGTTCAACGTGTACTCGAGGTTCTAGATACTTCCTTGTGAGGAAACAATTTCCTTACCCTTTTGCCAGTTTTTAGGTGGGAAAAATACTACCAAATAAATAAATGATAAAATGTTATATATCGAAGGAGAAATTGTTCACAGCTATGTTTCTAAATTCTTGAATAAGGGATGCAAATAAAAATAATGGAAAACAAGCGATGCATAAAGTCCACTATTGCAAGCAATCTCAATTTTCTTGTGATTCCATATTTGTTTTATGGGGTTTTTGTTTTTCTTAAAGCCCCAGCTGTTGGTTTCATGAGATTGCAAGAGAATCTCACCTTCCATTAAAACCAAAAGAGTACGTTTCTAGCTTTCATGGTTAGGGAGAAAAGTCTGAAATCGTGAAGCCAGTGCATCCTAAAGGCTCAGAAACCAGAAGACAATTGTAAAAAGCCCCAGTATTACTTTATTTCTTTTTTAAAATCTCATGATTTTTTTAGCCAATCCCATGATTGTGGGGACCTGATTCGTGGTTTTTGAACGGCTTGGGATGGTGGGGGTGATACTGTTGATATGTTCATACTCTGTGGGCTCAAATGTATGTCTCTGGTGGCCTTTGCTGTGGAACAGAGGGAAGCAGAATGGAGCAGCAACTGTGCCTACAGACATTTTCCTTATTATTTCTGGCTCTGAGGGTGTTTGGGAAGAGGCATTTCTTGCTGTACCTGTTCAGCAAGTGAAAAGAGCACCCTCCAACTCAGAAAGACCCTGCCTCGCTTTCCTCATGCCCATCAGTGAAGCCAAACTCAGCTATGGCTCTTTTTTGTGCAGATGTTCAGAAAGCTTGGGTGGAGAAACAATGACCTTTCCCTCTAAGTGCTGCTATATTGGAGTGGCCCTTATAATGTAAATCATAATGATATCATCTGTCTTTAATTTAATAAAGAGAGCATAGACGAATGTGTCCCAGGAAGGAAAATGTACCTCAGTGGTACTGAGCAATTTGCTAGCTCAGCAGAGTGGCAAGCAGTTTGGTGGAGTAAGCTATGAAAGTACTGGAAACTGTACAGACAGGAAATGGAGAAAGCCATCGCCTCAGGGGGAACTGTGACCTGAGCTGGTTGATACTGATGCATTTAAACTGTTGTTGTCCCTGGAGCTGACCAACAGGGCACTTTGCAATTTGTAATAGGAAATCCAAGGAATCTGGATCAGAAAAATATGGCCATCCTGGGACTCTATAAGAATAAAAAGTAATGACTGTGACCTGTGCCCAAGGTGTCGCTCACTGCAATTAAATTGTAGGTTATCAATAACTGAAACTCAGTTTGCATTAATTCTTTGGATCAGTTTTGTTTGATCAAACACTATTAAAAGTTAAACACAGTAAGATCATCCCGTTTGTTAAGACGGGTCCCAAGCGTGGAAAGAGACAAAAAATAAGCAACAGACTGCTTAGGATGACATGGTACATGTCCCCAGTCCCCAAAGGGCTAAGTTAGTAGTTTGAGTTTTAGTGAGAAGACATGCCAATCATGGCTTTGAAGGATTTGTTTTATCATTAGAAACTGCCTACTAGGTGAATATAGTGGAGGTCTGAAAACAGCAGAGGTGACACCTTCAATTCCAGGGGAAATACCTTTCTCTCAGAGCCCTTCATTTAACCTTCTTGTCTGATACGTTTAGTGTCTCTTGGGTGCACAAAATTTATTCAGCACAGCCCTCTGCTGTGAAGTGAAATTCCTTACACAATACTTACTCCTCCCCTGGAGAAAAAAGACATTATGAGTCATGGTGTCCCAGGTGTATTTTTTCCACATTGATATGTATATCTTCACTGTTCAGCCCCTTAAGTACCATTCCCATGTGCATTAGTTAACAGCTTAGAAGCTGTAATGTTTAGTTGTTCCCAATTTATTTTTATTTGGGAGATGTCAAATATTGAACCTGCTCTTTCTCTCAAACCATTACATCTATACTACATCACAAAAGGGTATCAAAGGTCCAGGAGTTTTTCTTGTGTCAATGTTCCTAATAAATGCATTTTTGCACAACCAATAATTAAGGTATATAGTCCAGCAAGAACACTGAAGTACTATTTAGAGAGTTAAATCCCACAGCAATGCGATCAATTTTATGATTTTTATGGAGAATTTTAAATCTTCTGCAGCAGCATTTCAAGGTCATAGACACAAGTTTTCCCTTAATCTTCTACGACTTTTTACACATATCATTATTTCTGAATATTTAATTCACTAGCCACTGGAAACTGGAAGGAGAGAGCCCTTTATTTCTTCATGACATTGGTCACCCAATACACAGCTTTCTTTTCTTCTTTAGACCACAGAGGAGTTTCTTTCCATCCAAGCAAATCCAAGAATCAGGTGTGTGTCCAAATTTTTATTTTTTTTAAGAGCACCCTCAATAGACAGTTTGGGGAAAAGTCAGTTTGCTGAATCAGTAATTAAAAAAA